CTTAATCATTATAATCTTAATCTATTTAAGTCTAGAGCTGTCATCTTTCCTACACAACTTTATAAGCTGCACTTCTTGGCTTCTCATACAACACCACACATTAACAGTCTACCTTGAGTGACTCTTGGGCCTTGTAGTAGGTGAACATTAGTATAAAAAAGTATTTAATTTTTCAAACTACAAACCCACATTGTCAGTGTTACATTTTTTGTTTTTTACTAAAATTCATCCAATACAAGGTTCTAGAATCACTCAAGGGAGAAGGTTACTAAATAAGGTGCATAATATGAATATAAGACAAGGTAGTGGGAAGTGGGGATTATGAAGATAAGGAGGATTAACAACAATTGAGCCTTGATGGGATTAAGACCATAGTATTCAGAGAAGCATCCACACAGGATTCTGTTCCACAAAGTAGCAGTCCTTAGGAAAATGCTGCCTCCTTCCTCCTTCCAAATGGAATTCAGAGAAAATGTGGGTGATTTGATTCTATGGATATAGCATGGTTAGTCCTAGTTGTAAAAGTCTGAAGTGGTGGAACTTAAGAATGGAACTTGTCTGAACATTAGTCAAACTTAGTTGTGATAGAGTAGCAATAGGCTTGTAATATTTCATCTGTGGGAAAGAGGTTGCAGGGTAGAAAATGCCATTCCCCACATGACCGCATAGATGATTTTGAATTCTATCTAGACTGGAAAGTAAAGATTGGATGTCTCCAGCCCAGATATGGCAACAATATTCTATTTTTGGTTCAACCTAGCTCTTGTAGCGATAAAAAATGTAACTGTATATTAGATTTGTTTAAATTCTTTTTTCTACTTTTATCCAGAATATGAAAACTTAGATGTTTTTGATCAAGAGAAGGAAGTAGAAAGAAAAGAATTTCAGCAAAGAAAACACCATGAGGAGCTCTTGGAAGATCCCAGAAAAGGAAAAAACTGTATCATCTGTGTTCCAACATGCAGTGAAAAAAACAATTGTTACCATGTGGGGTACAGCGTACCCGGATTAAAAGGAAAATTTAATACGGGATACCCTGCCCACAAAATACAACGCAAATTTCAAGAAAAGACAACACGATAAGGAACGTTTGTAGAAAATAGAACATTGTATATTTAATGTCATTCATGCAGAATAAACAAATTTGTATATTTTTATATCTTGTGAATAGAGTAAAAAAGATTAATGCTTTAGTTCATTTAAACAAATGTGATTTGAACAAAAAAATGTCTATGTGTTCGCTGTCTTTCAACAGAGTAGTAGAGTAATGTCTGTTTCTTTTGTTTTTGTGTATCCGCCGAGTAGGTGGAAAGGAAAAAGGGGGAATCAATTTAAGTTGAAAAAGAGTGTGTGAATGAGAAATAAAAGATAAGAGGAAAATGTACTTATCGGGTTGAATTGTTTTGGAGTCAGTTGTAAATTTGTTGTTGTTGTTGTTTTCCTTTCCTACCCCACTTTCTACTCTTAGTGTCTGGTTGAGTCAGTGATGGACCTGACTGTCAGTCTTCTGTCCTCTATGATCTCTGCGCCCTTCTGACTGACTGACTGACTTGAAAACTCTGTATTTATTGTTGACTTTTTTTTCACACTGGCTCGTTATCTTTTTTTTAGTTTAGCAAATCGCATCCTTTCATTGGTCAGAAAATTTCACACCTTATTGTGAAATCTGTTTTTAGTCGTTTTGATCCGATTTTGCAGGTGTGCAACACTACTTTGTGTTTTTCAGTTATTTGTTGGAATGATATAGGATTTCTATCCTATAACCATGTAGTTAATTGAGGGAATAAGAAATCTTTAGAAACTTTTTTTTAATATGGACTTTGTTGAAAATTACTGGAAGGTTACTGAAGACAATAGATGCCTGAAGTAGACTAAAAAGTATAATGGCAGAAACATTGTGACTATTATAACCAAGATGAGGATAAGTCATTGTATAAAAATGATAATTCCTTATTTCAGTAAATCAAACAGATAATTTCAGCTTTTGTGTGTTTGCAAAAATCTCGTGAACCATCATTTGCAAAAAGTTAAAGATGATATCTGAGACTCTGTGTAATTAGAATTTACTTCTGTTGATTAAAGAAAGGGTTCAGTTTTAAATGAAGCCAGCAATAACTGAGCAGTACTTAATAATAAGTAGATGAGATATTCCTTGACATAGACAGTGGAATAAGAACTATCTACTCCTGTTGATTAAAGAATGGATTCAGTTCAAAATCACCAAGATCAACAAATACCTAAATATGGTCAGAGGGTAAAATGGCTGAAATATTGTGATAATAACAACAAAGATGAGAACATTAGTCTGCATGTAAATGATGTAAATAATGACTTTGGTATATACTTAGCTGTTTATTGCTTATGCACTCATTCAACTTTATTGTGTCATTTACTAGTGTAGCGGGCGACCCAGTGGCCCCGTATCACGGAAAGGGGTGAACGAGGTCACAAGAGGCCCGCTAACATTTTTGAAGACGTTTATATCTGACAGTGAAACAATATGGACGACAGAACGAGGATATATATGATATATAGAGGTTTATTCTAAAAGGAAAAGGAAATGAAGATGGTCGGAAACGGTGGAGGTGCTGGATGCTGCAGGAGTGAGCCGGATGATGCAGGAGTGCTGGATACTGCAGGAGTGAGCCGGATGCTGCAGGAGTGAGCCGGATGCTGCAGGAGTGAGCTGGAAACTGCAGAAGTTTTAGTGCAGGCATTGATGGTCGAGGTTGGCAGTTGCTAGGATCATCGTTGTTGGGGGGTTGACGCTGATGTGAGTTGTTGCCAGGATGATCGCTTGGTGGTTGTTGATGTTGAGTGATGCCAGGATGATCTTTGTTGGTTGTTGAAGCTGAGTCGTTGCCGGGGGTGCCAACTTGTTGCTGTAGTTCGTGTTGCCAACTCGTTGTTTGTCATTGCCGGGGTGCCAACTTGTTGCAGCAGTTCGTGTTGCCAAAGTTGTTTGTCATTGCCTGGATGCCAACTTGACGTGTTGGGAAGGAAGAGAGAGAAAGAAAGTTCCCAACTATTGTCAAGTTGGCAGACAAAAAGAAATGGGAGCGTAACTTAATACACAGCCCGTAGATCGGCGCCCTTGGCCAATGAAGGCCAAGGGGCCTGCGCAGACGACCGTTGCGGCCGCCGACAGCCTCCCCAAAGCTTGGGAGAAATCACTGTCTTGTGTCGAGGGGGACCAGCAAGAGAAATTGGCTAAGCTAACCGAAAAGTCTCTATAAAAAAAATACTACAAGGTTAGCTAAAGATAACTATGGTCTAAAAATGACTAGATGTATATTACACCTAGGTTTGTAATATAGCCTAACTAAAAAAGGGGATTTGCTAGTCCCTCTGACGTGTTAACAGTGTGTGAGGAGTATGAATGAGAGGTCAAGGTCGAAAAGACCTGTTCCTCTGCTGGTTCAAGGACAGAAGGAGGAGGTAACTCCGACACTAGCTTTAGGCAAAATTCTGAAGTAAAGAGAAAGGTTCCGTATGAACTTATAGAAAGGAACATCAATCAGCCACTTAACTAATTATCTTTCTCTTTTCGTTCAAGAAGATTTAAAAAAAAAAAAAACAAGGCTGTCACTGATGAAAAATGGATTTATTACACGAATCCTGAATGAAAAAAATGATGGATGGACCCAGGTCAGCCTTTAACAGTTCAACGTAAATGCAATCTATCAGTAAAATAAATTTATTTCCTAAATTCCTTATTACAAATTATGGTAAAATTGTACAACCTCTTAATGAAAGATGACAATGAGTAATTAGTTTCAACAAATGACTAAAAAACACAAAGTAGATTTGCACACCTTTTTTGTTTTTACAAAAAAATCGGATCAAAACGACCAAAACAGATTTCACAATAAGGTGTGAAATTAATTTTCTGACCAATGAAAGGAGGCGATTTGCTAAACCAAAAAAAAAGATAACGAGCCAGTGTGAAAAAAAAGTCAACAATAAATACAGAGTTTTCAAGTCAAGGATCAAATCAGTCAGATTAAAAAAAACAAAGTCAGAGAAGGGATCAAAAGATCACAGAAGATTGACAGTAAATTTTCATCACTGACTCAAACCGACACAAAAAAAAAGAGCCGAAAGTGGAGTCAGTCAGGAAAGATCACAGAAGAACAACAACAACAACAACAAAAAGAAACAACTGACTCCAAAACAATTCAACCCGAAAAACATTTTCCTTTTATCTTTTATTCCTCATTCACACTCTTTTTTTTCAACTTAAATTGCTCGCCCCTTTTTCATTTTACAACTATACAAAAACAAAAGAAACAGACATTATTCTGCTACTCTGTTAAAAGACAACGAACACAGACATTTTTATCAAAATCACATTTTTGCTTAAACGAACTAAAACATTAATCTTTTTTACCCTATTCACAAGATAATAAATATACAATGTTCTATTTTTTATAAACGTTCCTTATCGTGTTGTTTCTTCTTGAAATTTGCGTTGTATTTTGTGGGCAGGGTATCCCGTATTAAATTCTCCTTTAATCCGGGTACGCTGAACCCCACAAATGGTGACCAATCGACATGAAATGAACTCACAAATTTCCAACTGAAAGAAAAGCTTCAACAAAATAAGCAACACATTTTTTTTAATATATAACCATAATCATCAAGACACATAGAAAATGGATACACACACTACGGAACCTATGGAAGCCGCTATAACAATTAACTTACCAACTTACAACCCAACTAACGTGCAAATTTGGTTTGCACAGTTAAATGCAATTTTCAACGCAAAGGAAATTCCATCGCAAAATTCAAAATATGCCTACGTTCTCGAAAAATTTCCTGAAGGTGTAGCATCCGAGGTAGTGGATCTACTTAATGACATGCCGGAAGAAAAACCTTATGAGACGTTGAAAGCTGCAATTATTAGACGTGTCGGTAAATCGGAGGAAAGAAGGTTACACGACTTATTCAATAATGTGAACCAGGGATATATGAAACCTTCACAGCTTTTAAGAAAAATGCGATCCTTATTAGGAGACAACACCATGTCCGAAGTGGTGTTAAAGAAACTGTGGATGGATAAACTACAAACACATACAACACAGATACTCGCATCACTCCCCGATGATTTACAGCTGGAGAAAATAGCAGAAATAGCAGACAAAATACATGACAACAACCAAGACAAAAATGTATACGCCACATCACATGCACCAACAGATACAGCAACATTACCAGACAAGTCATCTGAATTGTCGCAGCTGTATAAGCAAATGGCGAATCTCAGCTTACAAGTACAGAGTCTGATACAAGCACAGAAATCTCAGCGTTCTCGTCCAACATTCAGAAATAGATCCTACTCACCACACAGACGTCGAAGTAGATCGAACTCTTTCTCCAGAGAGCAAATTACACACGATACCTGTTGGTATCATTATAAATTTGGAAGAAATGCAAGAAAGTGCACTGAACCATGCAACTTCAATTCAAAAACTTCTCACATTTCTACACAACACCAGGGAAACGACTATACCAGCAGCAAGTAAAGACGACATTAGCTGCTGGATTAAAACAAGAGAGTCGTCTATTTTACATCCGGGACAGAAGTAACGGATATTTATTTTTAGTCGACACCGGCGCTCAGATCAGTGTTATCCCACCAAATACAAAACAAAAAAGCTACATTCTCCACATACACATTGCAGGCAGCAAATGGATCAAAGATAGAAACATACGGTGAGATATCACTAACGCTCGATTTGGGTCTAAGAAGATCTTTTCCATGGATTTTCACACAAGCAAATGTGAAAAAACCTATCCTTGGAGCGGATTTCCTATCCCATTTCGATTTATCAGTGAATATGGTTACACACTCTCTCATTGACAGTAACACAAACCTAAGAACAAAGGGAATCACCTCAATCTACAAGTCAACAGGAATTAGTTCAGCAATACCAACGGCTAATGGCCTACATGAATTGATAAAAAATTTCCTACACTAACCATGCCTTTAACACATACAGATGAAATCCGTCACACTGCTAAACATTATATCACCACAGCTAGAGCACCTACACACGCATCACCACGCAGATTACATCCGGACAAATATAAAATAGCAAAAGACGAATTTCAACATATGTTGCAGTTAGGCATCATACGTCCTTCAAATAGCCCATACTCCTCTCCGCTACATATGGTTCCGAAACCAGAAGCTGGCGCATGGCGACCTTGTGGGGATTTTAGGAATCTCAATGCAAAAAACTGTTCCTGATAGATATCCTATACCGCACTTACATGATTTCGCCATAGGTTTGCAAGGAACCACAGTTTTTACAAAATTGGATTTGGTTAAGGCGTACTACCAAATTCCAGTAGCAGAAGAAGACATAAAGAAAACTGCAATTACCACTCCTTTTGGACTCTATGAATTCACCAGGATGCCATTTGGGTTACGTAATGCCGCCCAAACCTTTCAAAGACTCATTGATGAAGTTTTGAGAGGATTGCCTTTTACCTTTGCATATATCGATGACGTGCTTATCGCCAGTCGTGATGGAAAAGAACACCTATACCATATTCAACAAGTCTTCGAGAGACTGGCACATTTTGGCTTAAAGATAAATGTCCACAAATGCGATTTTGCTGTTTCAAAGTTAAATTTCTTGGGCCATGTGATCGACAAAAAACGGAATCACACCTGTCCCAGAGAAAGTAGCAGCAATAAAAACTTTCAGCAACCGACATCACTGCGTCAATTAAGACGATTTCTCGGTTTAATAAATTACTACCGTAGATTTATTCCAGGTTGTTCCAGAATTTTTCCCCACTCACAAACTTGCTGCAAAAACAGAAGAAGAAAAAATGCAAAAATACTGATTGACGGAGAAGCGTTAGCTGCATTTCAAAATGCTAAAAAAGCGTTAGCAGATTTTACCAAGCTCTCTTACATCAGTGTGACGATGCTAACTCAACACTTACATTGACAACTGACGCCTCAGGAGATTCAATTGGAGCAGTTCTACATCAGAAGCTAAATGGTTCAGAAAAGCCAATCTCCTTTTTCTCGGTCAAATTAAACAAAGCACAGCAGAAGTACAGTACCTTCTCGAGAGAGTTACTAGCTATTTACTTAGCAATAAGGCATTTTCGACATCTGCTCGAGGGACGAAACTTTACTGTTTTCACAGACCACAAACCCCTCACTTACGCTTTACATGTGAACACAGATAAATACACACCCAGAGATACCCGACAACTGGACTACATATCCCAATTTACATCGGATATCCGCTATATTAAAGGTTCAGACAATATCGTGGCAGATACACTCTCGCGCTCCACGATACAATCCATCGATTCTGAAACCCTTACCTTCGACCTCATTGCAGATGAACAAAAGGAAGATACCACATTATACAAAATAAAAATGAGGACACTTCTTTACAATTGAAGGAACACCCCGTCCCATTTGGAACAAAAACACTACTCTGTGACGTTGGGACTGGTTATTCAAGACCATATATTCCACCTTCATTGAGAAAAAAGATATTTCTGCATTTTCACAATCTCTCACATCCCGGACACCGAGCAACTGACAAGTTGATTAGCAGTCGTTTTGTCTGGCCAAACATGCATACTGACATAAAACGCTGGACTCAAACTTGTTTAAAGTGCCAAAAAGCAAAGTAAACAGACATACTAAGTCCCTCCTGGGCATTTTCTAAAACCAGATGGTAGATTCACGAATCTTCACATGGACATAGTGGGTCCCTTACCAGAAGTAAACGGACATAGTTACCTACTCACTATTATCGACCGATTCACAAGATGGCCTGTCGTTGTTCCTATAAGGGATATATCTGCAGAAACGATCTCTAAAAGTATATTACATGAGTGGATTGCCGTTTTTGGTTGTCCCTCAGTAATAACTACAGACCGAGGTTCTCAGTTCCAATATACGCTCTTTGATGAGTTCACAAAACTATTGGGAGTTAAGCATATAACAACAACGGCTTATCACCCATGTGCCAATGGCTTAATTGAACGTTTCCACAGTCAACTTAAGACAGCATTAACTGCAAATAATGATTCTAAGACGTGGTTAGAAAATCTACCGCTAATATTACTATCCATTTGGAATGTAATCAAAGAAGATTTAGGATGTACAGCATCCGAAATGGTTTTTGGAACGTCCTTGACGTTACCAGGACAGTTTTGTGATAAATCCAGTCAACTCCAACCAACTACATCTTTTGTACAAAGATTTAAGCAAAGAATGAATGAACTAGTTTTCACACCCACTAGAACACAAACAAAAGACCTTTACACTCCAAAAAAGACCTCCACAATTGTGAATATGTTTTCGTACGAAACGACACAGTAAAAAGGCCTCTTTGCCCTACTTATACGGGACCTTTCCAAGTAGTCAACAGAAAACCCAAATATTTCACAATTGTAGCAAAAGGCAAGCAAGACACTGTCTCTATAGACAGACTAAAACCAGCGTACTTGGATTTACCTACAAAGGAAAGTACGTCGGAACATTCTACAGCCGAGACAAATACCAACGTAAGTGAAACATTTTCTACACCTCCAAACACACCTAAAAACATTACCACAAGATCGGGTAGACACGTACACTGGCCTACTCATTTTAAAACATATATTAGATATTGAAAAATATTTTCAATATTTATCAATCTGAGGGGGTTTATAGGATACAAATCCTATATTCCAACAAATGACTAAAAAAACACAAAGTAGATTTGCACACCCGCAAAATCGGATCAAAACGACTAAAAACAGATTTCACAATAAGGTGAAATTAATTTTCGAAATTAATTTTCTGACCAATGAAAAAAAAGGAGGTCGATTTGTCAAAAACCAAAAAAAAAGATAACGACTGCCAAAATGGATCAAAAAAACAACAACAACAACAACAAATTTACAAACTGTCAAAACAATTCAAATACAGAGTTTTTATCAAGTCAAAATTCAACAATAAATACAATTTCATTCAGTCAGTCAGTCAGAGAAGGGCGCAAAAGATCACAGAAGATTGACAGTAAATTTGCATCACTGACTCAAACCGACAAAGAGCCATGAAAGTGAGGAGATAGGAAACAACAACAACAACAAATTTACAACTGACTCCAAAACAATTCATAAGAGGGTACATTTTCCTTTTATCTTTATTCCTCATTCACACTCTCTTTTTTTGCAACTTAAATTGCTCGCCCTTTTTCATTTACAACTATACAAAAACAAAAGAAACAGACATTACTCTGCTACTCTGTTAAAAGACAACGAACACAGACATTTTATCAAAATCACATTTTTGCCCATTAAACGAACTAAAAACATTAATCTTTTTTTCTTTGACCCTATTCACAAGATAATAAATATACAATGTTCTATTTTTATCCAAACGTTCCTTATCGTCTTGTTTTACTCTAGTATACCGCAAAGAAGGAAGTATTTAGGTACTTGGCAGTGATTTTGAGGTCCTCTGGTTTTCACAGAAATCTGAGGGGCTCTAATTCATTGCATTTTTGTTGGAGTATTAGTAGTTTGTCATGCAAACAAGTAATAGTTTGTGGAAGGACTTTCCATTGTGGTGGTTGGGTAGGGCCCATGTTGATCACTGACTCAAACTTCCAAACGCCGATATTGTAGCCACTGTATTTGGAGTCGAAAAGAGAATCATTCTCCTGGAGCAGGGTATGGAACCTTTGTTCTGTGGTAGAATGAATCCAGGGTCCACTTTCACTAGATCAGAGAAATAGTTCAATAATCAAAGGATCAAAGATCGAGGTTTTAAGCACTAATGGTAATCCAGGGCTCAAAATGGCGGATTTTGTTTTATTTTTTACATACCCAATATATTGCTGATTCGTATGTAGTTCAACGTGTAAAAACAGAAAAAAAAATCAATTAAAATCAATTCATGTAAGATTAATGCCAACAACTGAAGGATCAAAGTTTGGGGTTTCAAGAACTAACAGTAATCCAAAACTCAAAATTGCAGATTTATTTTCATTTTTTATATGCCCATATTATTGCTGATTCTTATGTAGTTATGCATAGAAGCAGAAAAAATCAATTACAATCAATTTTGTGTAAGATTAATGAAAATAATCGAAGTTTGTAGATTTATGCAAGTAAGTTTTTTAAGTTTGTAGACTTAGGG